CCCCCCTTCCTCCTCTCCCCCCCTCGCCCCCCTTCCTCGCCCCCCCCCCGCCCCCTTTCCCTCCTCTCCCCCCTCGCCCCCTTCTCCTCTCCCCCCACCCCGCCCGTCCCCCTTCCTCCTCTCCTCCCCCCCTCGCCCCCTTTCCTCCGCTCCCCCCCGCGCCCCCCCTTCCGCCTCCTCCCCCCCCCTCCCCGCACCATCCTCCCCCGCCTTTTCGCCTCCTTCCTTCGCCTAACCCTCATCCCTCCTGCCCCCCCGCCCCCTTCCTTCTCTCCCTTTTCCCCCCTCCCCCCCTCCGCCTCTCCTCTCTCCCCCCCCTCGCCCCCTTCCTTCTCTCCCCCCAAGTCCGCCCCCCCTTCCTTCACTCGCTTCCCCCCGCCCCCTTCCGCCTTCCCCCCCTTCCTCCTCTCCCCCCCCCTCGCCCCCCTCCCTCTCTCATTGGTAAACTCTGTTATGTCATAGGAAATGCCAAGCACCTGGCTGATTATTTGCTTTCCTTTCTGAGTACAGAGATGACACAGCCAAGCAATGAGCATTTTCATTGAATGCGTCTTGCGGTAGATTGTTGTTCTCTCCCATCCTGTAACATGGTAACAATGTTTCTTCCTCCTGTGGTTGCAAACAGATGTGTTTTGCTGCGTTGGGAGGGGGAAGCAGAGCAGAGGCGTCGCGCTCGGTGCGATCAGACGGAAGATCGCTCCTCTTCGCCTCTCTGTGGTTTTTTTTTTTTTTTTTTTTCCTGTCTTCGTCACGTCAGCTTTAACCCCTCGTGTGTTTCCTCCCCCAGGTTCTCCAGGCTCCAGGCATCAGCTGCGCTCTAGAGGCAAGACGCGGGAGCCGCGCACCATGGCGAGCCGGTCGGTGCTTCTCCCTCGGGTTGTTGGTGGTCATCCTGGCACCGGCCATCGAGGGCTCTTTCCCCACCATGTCCAAGCAGCGTCTGAAGGGGAGATTCCAGCGGGACCGGCGCAATATCCGCCCCAATATCATCCTCGTCCTGACCGATGACCAGGACGTGGAGCTCGGTAAGTGCGCTTCTTTCTACAGAACTCAAATCTTACATCGTAGGTAGACTTAACATGTGTGTGATAGGAGGACCTACCTACACTGTCCAACCAAATTGTCTCTAATCGGGCAAAAGGATGCACTGCATAGTTATTAGTGGATTATAAGATCACCATACATGATCTTGCTACAGTCATCTTTAGATATAAGTATGTGATGGGAGGACCTACCTTTAAAACGTCAATTTGTCTTTAATCGGGCAAAAGATTACACTCCAAAGTTGTTAACAGATCATAAGCTCACCCCACACATTACAATCTGATTGTAAGATCTTCTCTAGGTCTAGCAGCAGCTATGTTGTGTATGGGCTTGTCTGGTTACAGATGGATGGGATAGTGTAGGTAGATCCTCGTATGACATACCGCTGAGGTTGGTTGTACATTCAGATGTGAGCCTACACATTACGATTGTATTAACTGTTCGATGTGCATTTTGAAACGTATCAAATGGGCAGCTCTTCCCTTCTGACTGAATCTAGATCAGGTTTGATGAAACTTTTCAGCAAGGGTGGAAATTTATCGATTTATGTTGCATCAGTCGGCGGTATTGTCTTTGAGTTTGGTTGTGTTTTTATCGATCGGATAACGAGAGTACATGGCGGAAACTGAGTTGCGATCGTACCATCCGCCTCTCGATTTAAAATCTACTTTTGCTGCGTTTCTCAAATCAGTCGAATGGGGTTGTTGACTATAGATTGGTTATACCTCTGGGGAGAAATCTATCAGAAAAGAAATCGATCTTCAATTGAAGTATTCATATAAAGGAGATTTGTGTTCTGTAATTTTTTTGAAAATCGGGTGACATACAGCTTAAAAAAGGAGGATTTATAGTCAGTTTGTTACAATGTAACACACGTTTGAAAGAAAACAAAACTGAAGTCTGTTCCTATACTTCTGGTGATGACAGGTTCTCTTTATAAGGGGGTCATGGGGAAGTCTGTTCCTAGACTTCTATTGATGACAGGTTCTCTTTATAAGGGGGGGGGGGGGGTGAAGTCTGCTCCTAGACTTCTGCTAATGACAGGTTCTCTTTATAAGGGGGTCATGGTGAACTCTGCTCCTAGACTTCTATGGATGACAGGTTCTCTTTATAAGGGGGGGGGGTGAAGTCTGCTCCTAGACTTCTACTGATGACAGGTTCTCTTTATAAGGGGGGGGGTGAACTCTGCTCCTAGACCTCTACTGATGACAGGTTCTCTTATAAGGGGGGGGGGGTCATGGTGAACTCTGCTCCTAGACCTCTACTGATGACCGGTTCTCTTTTATAAGGGGGGGGGGTAAACTCTGCTCTTAGACCTCTACTGATGACAGGTTCTCTTTATAAGGGGGGGGGGGTGAACTCTGCTCCTAGACCTCTACTGATGACAGGTTCTCTTTATAAGGGGGGGGGGGGGTCATGGTGAACTCTGCTCCTAGACCTCTACTGATGACCGGTTCTCTTTATAAGGGGGGGGGGGGTAAACTCTGCTCTTAGACCTCTACTGATGACAGGTTCTCTTTATAAGGGGGGGGGGTGAACTCTGCTCCAGACCTCTACTGATGACAGGTTCTCTTTATAAGGGGGGGGGGGTGAACTCTGCTCCTAGATTTCTACTGATGACAGGTTCTCTATATAAGGGGGGGGGGGGGTGAAACTCTGCTCCTAGACCTCTACGGATGACAGGTTCTCTATATAAGGGGGGGGGGGTCATGGTGAACTCTGCTCCTAGACCTCTACTGATGACCGGTTCTCTTTATAAGGGGGGGGGTAAACTCTGCTCTTAGACCTCTACTGATGACAGGTTCTCTTTATAAGGGGGGGGGGGGTGAACTCTGCTCCTAGACCTCTACTGATGACAGGTTCTCTTTATAAGGGGGGGGGGGGTCATGGTGAACTCTGCTCCTAGACCTCTACTGATGACCGGTTCTCTTTATAAGGGGGGGGGTAAACTCTGCTCTTAGACCTCTACTGATGACAGGTTCTCTTTATAAGGGGGGGGTGAACTCTGCTCCTAGACCTCTACTGATGACAGGTTCTCTTTATAAGGGGGGGGGGGGTGAACTCTGCTCCTAGATTTCTACTGATGACAGGTTCTCTTTATAAGGGGGTCATGGTGAGGAAGGCCGCAGTAGCGTGCTGCTTGTTTGAGCGGCTTCATCCTCCTGCTGGGTGGTTGTGGCCAATGGCTGGTTCCCCTGTATGTGGGAGGTTGGGTTCCCTACCAGGAGACACACCATAAAGGATACCTAGACACATGTTTGAAAAGTAAACATTTAAAAAAGACAAAATTTTTACTTGCTCACCCCCCCCCCCCCCCCAGGTGGTTTCGTCCACCAGCCTCTGTCTCACTATTTATAGAGTAGAGGCCAGTGGGAGGAACCACAGCACTCAGAGGGAGGACCAGGCATGTGGCACTCCCAGACCGGGTTTCCAAAGAATTTGTGGTAGTGGTAGATCGTGTCAACATGGATGGCAGGACAGGTAAGCCTCATTTTTTTTTTTTTCTCCCCCCGCAGGGTTCATTTGGTTGGTTAGTCACCTCCACTATCAACCCCACCCCCCAGGACACTATCTGCATTGAGTTTGCATTTTCCCCTCCTCTGCCCGGTACTCCACTTTTCTCCATACACCCTCCAGAGACGCTCTGTGAGGTTTATTGGCTCCAGTATATGTGTGTGTGGGGGCAATTCCATCTGCAGCCTCCTAGGCGGACCTTGGTAACACTCTATTGAGTGGCTAATGCCGGTCTGGTGCTCGTTACAAACATGGAGCCGCACATGGAGCCAGGTTCCGGGGTGTGACGTACGACGTCATGGTTGGACGCCTTTGTTATTGGCCAGTAATTGGCCTCATGCCGGCTTTAGACTTGAAGATAATTGGCTCGATCTGCAACCAGCCAACGGATATCACACCAGCCTCAGGGTGTACGTCGTCGGGCGTTGTAGTCAAATGTCGTGTTTTCCGTTCATGCGCATGTCTCCGCATCCGGGAGGAAAACGCAGCTTATGGCCAGGACTGGCTGCACGTCATCTGCTTTGTTCAAACGCACTTCCATAGGACAATGGCGCAATTCAAAGCAGGTTGGACGCAACCTCTGTACCGCTCCGTTGAAGACGATGGGGTTACGCTGGCCTGCGTTTGACGTGCGTTCCAAATGCAGGAAAACCGCGTCTGTGGACTTGAGCCCTAACGGCTTCACACAGAGTGCATTGAGCCGCATCTGAACAACGCAGGGTGGACTCAAGGACACCGGACCAACAATTGTCCTCTACGTGTCCTGTACATGTCCCACAAGTTCGGGGTTGTGGTGTGGTGTTGCGTTGTGTATTGTGGGCGTTGTGTGTGTGCGTTGCATTGTGCGTTGTGTATTGTGGCGTTGTGTGTGTGTAGCATTGTGCGTTGTGTATTGCGGCGTTGTGTGTTGCATTGTGCGTTGTGTATTGCGGCGTTGTGTGTGTGTATTGCGGCGTTGTGCATTGTGCGTGCGTTGTTGTGTATTGCGGCGTTGTGTGTAGCATTGTGCGTTGTGTATTGCGGCGTTGTGTGGTAGCATTGTGCGTTGTGTATTGCTGCGTTGTGGGTTGCATTGTGCGTTGTGTATTGTGGCGTTGTGGGTTGCATTGTGCGTTGTGTATTGCGGCGTTGTGTGTAGCATTGTGCGTTGTGTATTGCGGCGTTGTGGGTTGCATTGTGCGTTGTGTATTGCGGCGTTGTGGGTTGCATTGTGCGTTGTGTATTGCGGCGTTGTGGGTTGCATTGTGCGTTGTGTATTGCGGCGTTGTGTGTTGCATCTAGAATGTTTGCATCTTTCTGAATGCACAAAAAAGTCTTTCCACACACGGCACCACATTGCAACAAGTCTGCGCAGAAGACATACAGGGGTTGGACAAAATTACGGAAACACTGGGGAAAAGAAAAAAAAATCGCTAATATGGCGCTGGTTCGCCTTTGGCATCCAAGACGGCCGGAATTCTCCAGAGAAGTGACAAATGGAAGTCTTGGATGGTGGATAATGGGATCTGATTCCACTCTTCATGCAAAAATCGTTCCAGTTCTCAGAGATGCCGGAGGCAGAAAACGGGCCTTAATCTCGTTCTCCAAAACTGGCCACAGTGGCTGTGATATTGAGATCAGGTGACTGTGGCTCCCGGAGAAGGTGCGAGACTTAGTCTGCATGCTTGTCAAACCATGATTGGACAACACCAGCTGTGTGAATCGGAGCGTTATCGTCTTGATAAATGGCGCTGTCAATGTCTTCACCCTGAGCCGCACGTTTGGCCACAATTTGTACATAGTCGCTGGCAATGATTGTGCCGCCCGCCACCATGCTTCACAGTTGGCAGTATACAGTCCTGGACGTAAACTTGGGACGGTGTTGGCCACACGTAAACACATCCGGTGGTTGGGAAAAGTGTGAAGCTTCGATTCCACCATTTATGGGTGTTTGCTCTACTTTCTCCTCTTTTGAGCATTAATGTCGGTCACTAGTGGTTTGCAATTGTAGCTCGCCCGGGAATATTCTGCTGATGGAGTTCCCTCCGCACGGTTTCTGTGGACACGGGCTTTGGAAGACTGAGATTGAGCTCTGCAGTCACTTTTGTTGTTTTCCTATTCTGGGTCACAATCCTGCGCAATGTCCTTTTCGGTCAACCAATTTTCAAATTTCATTGCGCCAAACCGAACATAACTGTCACTTCTTTTTTCTTTTTTTCTTTTTTTTTTTTTTTTCTTTTTTTTTCTTTTTTAGCAATGGAACCTTTGTGAGAACCTCACCCTCACAAATTTTGGCTTCCTCTGCGTACTGCGAGGATTGGGCTGCCACAGGCTCGGCTATTTTACAATGACATGTTCTCTGATGTGCAGGCATGGAGGAGACCTCTGCCCTGCCTGCCCTGTGAGCGGCCCTGTCCTGCCTGCCCTGTGAGCGGCCCTGTCCTGCCTGCCCTGTGAGCGGCCCTGTCCTGCCTGCCCTGTGAGCGGC